CTCCGGCTCATACTTGGTGCGGTTGCCGCTGACCACGATCTCGTAGCCGTTGCTGCCGGGCGTCTTGGGCGGCGTGCGACCGTACAGATTCTCGGGGACGCGCGAGCAGCCGCGCTGGCCGCCCGCCGCCGCCAGCAGCGCCGCCAGCACCAGCACCAGCACCAGCCGCCGGGCCATCGCTGCGCTCAGCGCCGACTGGGGCGGCCAGCGGCCGGCCGGCGCATGGCGAGCGGCTGGCCGGCGACGCGTCACTGCCGGCCGGGTAAACAGAGCGCGCGCCGCCCGCCGGCACGCGCAGCCGCCGCGCGCTGAGGCCGGCCGGCCGCGCCGCCGGCGCGCCGCCACCAGGCCTTCGTGACGAGGGGCTTTGCAGCACGCGACATTTGCGCATTGCGGTAGGTCTGGAGTTCATTGGGTAGCGTCTGTATAAGTTGTTCCCAACAGACCTCATTATCGCCACTGTGGTCTTCGGGAAAGATGTCTGACTAGCTATCCGGTGGCAATGGCACGAGTTCCAGAAAGGGCACGTAGTTTCAGCCGACGAACGCGGAAATGCTAGCTGGCAGCTTGCCAAAGCGTCAGCTTGGCTCGCGGCGGCCGTACCGCGACGCTGTATGCACGGCACGTGACCGCCCGCAAAACTATCCGATGCATCGGTACGGAACAACTCGGCTGGTGGTTCCAGGGTCCACGCAACAAACACTGCTTAGCAAGTGGTCTGGCCCCACATCCATACATCCATATCCACCAGGTCAAATGCGTTTTTAAAGAAGCTTTGTTCCGTTTGTTAACCATTCTGTACGGGGTTGCAATTTCCTATCCAGTTTGGGACGGTTCCAGCGGCACTCCCCAGTCTTTGAGATTACAAATGGTCAAATCCGAAGACATCTGTTTTCCAGGTATTTTGGGTATGCTCAGCCACTTTTCTGGGCATGCTTAGCCACTTTTTTCCTGCCTCCCCCCTTCCGCGCCCTCCGTCTTCCACCCGCAACTTTAGGCCTGACTCTGTCCAAACATAGCTAGATGACGCACAGTATAGTAATCCCTCCCGCATGTTCTTGAACAGCACGGTGAGGCCGAGGGCAACAAGTGCACAATCCCGGGTCTGACATTCGCCATGAAAACTGATTCCGAATGGCCTGGTTAAATAACATAATTAGTGACGGACGCTCGTAAAAAATAGCCAGACGAGGTGTGAGCCGACCCAGATCAGACAAAACGCAGCTTCACGCGACGCACTTTGCTGTGTTTCACATCACCCTGCTGTCGGTGCGCCCAGTCAAACAGCAGTGATAAAACGCACCATTCCTGGTCAGCTCCTACGCCTGTGGTTTTCGGCTGCTTCTTTGGCTTGGCGAATGACGACCCACAACATTTTGTTGACCGACATCTCTCCATCGGATGCGTAACGCCGATACATCTCTCCAGCTGTCGGTCGTGCGTGCCGGGTCACTTACTGAACCAAACTGTGCAGGGCCTGCGCAGACGTAAACCCGACTTGTCGAAACCCAGAGACTTTGAGAAGAAACCAGAAACCAGCTCAGGGACTTTCAGAACCTTACACCCTTCGACCAATACGGAATTTCAAACCGAAAAGCGAGTCGCGGTGGCACAGTGCAGGGATGAGTGCGGCCTCCGCCTGTCTCAGCCGGCGAGTCGTCCTCAGCTTATTTCCGATGTAGCGATCCAGCCACTGGCTGTCAGCCATGATCAGCCATGATCAGCCATTGTCGTGATTTTGAATGATCCTCTCTTCTGATGTATGTGTATGTACATGGAAGGGCACCACTGATGTGTGTTCAATCAATCTGGTCGCACTTCCCCGTGTGTAGTTATTCTGCCCATGCAGAAATATCGATACCTCGGTTGCAGCAATCTCGACTGGTTGTCAACATAAAACTTGTGCAAATGTTTACGCCGATCCCTGATAGACCCTGCTTCAGGGCGATGAATGTTGCGCACGTTTTCTCATATCATTTATAGCAATTTCAGGTGGTAAATGCTGGCTTTCAGGCGCCTTGAACATTGCACTAGCACGCAACAGAGGGCTTTCCCACAATATGTTTGACCAAGCCCTTATCATCGCCGTCCGAAGCTCAACAGCCAACCTTGCCTCGGGCCGTGGCCGGGTCCACTCGCCAGACCTGAGGCGCGCCGCCACGGCCGGCCCCAGAGGCCAAGGTCAGCGGGCCGCCCCACCTCCCACTGGTGCGACGCACGCGGCCTGTTTACAGCTGGCACTCGCGGCGGCGGCGGCGGCGGCCAAGCGCGGCACGTACGGCGAGTACGACACGTACAGCGAGTACGACGGCACGTACGGCAAGTACGACGACACGTACAGCGAGTACGACGGCACGTACGGCGAGTACGACAGCACGTACGGCGAGTACGGCGGCACGTACGGCAAGCACGGCGGCAAGCACGGCGGCACGTACGGCAAGTACGGCGGCAAGCACGGCGGCAAGTACGGCGGCGTGTACGGCAAGGTGGACAGCAAGCTGTTCAAGCTGGCGCCGTACTATCCGTTCAACCCGCACATCCAGCGGTACATCAACACGCAGCTGAACTACCACCACCCGCGCAACGAGTGGTCGCTGCGCCACCTGTACCAGGACGCCCAGACGCGCTGCACCATCCGGCTGTGGCGCATCAGCCGGCGCGGCGCGCTCAGCTGCGAGGAGGATGACGACTGCGGCGGCGAGGGCCTCTACTGCCGCGAGCTGCAGGTGAGGGCCAACGGCGGGACGGGGACCCGCTGGACAGTACCGACTGTCCGCGGCCGGGGACGGCGAGGGGAGGGACGGAGGTATGCTAGACAGTGATGACTGTTCGGGGCTAGGGAGTGCGGCGGCGGGGACGGCGAGGGGGAGGGACGGAGGCATGCTGGACAGTGCCGACTGTCCGGGGACAGAGAGGGCGGCGGCGGGAACGGCGGAGGGGGGGGGGGCCGGGGGCCCGCTGGACAGTGCTGACTGTCCTGGGCCGGAGAGGGCGGCGCCGGGGCCGGCGGGGGGGGGGGGGGGGGGGAACGGAGGCACACTGGACAGTACCGACTGTCCGGGGTTGGGGAGGGCGGCGGCGGGAGCCACGGCCGCGAACCAACGCAACAGCAGTCATCTGGCCGGCGGTGGCTGGCAGCCGTCAAGTGACCGTGCCACTGCCTGCTGGCCGGGGCGCACCGTGCCTGCCAAGAACAAGCGCGAGCCGCACGAGGTACTGGCCCGCCGGCTACCAGGTGCAGAGCTCGTTGTCACCAGCCATCCCTACCCAGCGCTATGCGCTGATCACGACACGACACTTGGCGCGCCTTAGACCGCTGCGATGGGTTCTGAGTTGATAACCGTCTCCGGGACCCTCATTTTGATAGTCAAGCGCCGTCCACTGACGCAACAATCTGTGGCGTCAAGGGTCGGTGCGTCATACGCGGCTATGAAGAACGCGAGAAGTCAAGATATGGACAAAAAGTAGAACGGGGTGGTTCAGCCCCCACGGACAAAAAGAGTGCAGGAATGGGGCATTTTGATGTTTCACATCGCAAGGTTATTAGTAAATTTGCGTTGTTGGTCAAAGTTAGTATCCAAAAACAACAATGTCGATCATAATGTCTGCACGGGGTCGGGAGTCGCCCATTTTTCCGATATAAAAGACCGTCAACAGGCGTTGCCCTTGACCAGGCGTTACCACGCAAACAACCACGATATGCCACACATGTTTCGCCTCGCGGCCATTTAGGGAATGCACCACAGGAGTGACGTCACAGGCTACGTCACAGGTCGCGTGAGCGAACCTGAAAAACCGCTTGGGCTCCCAATCGTCACTGAAGAAGAGGCGTCATACAGGCGTCCGCGTACTCCCACCCACACGGACAGCGTTGCCGACGCGTACCCAGCCGTTCCCGTCGACGGCCGCCATCCACAGTGGCCGCCGGACCGGCGTTACAGCCGCAGGGCGCCCTGACTCGCCAGGCGGCCGCACCGGCTGCACCGGCTGCGGCTGTAACGCCGGCCGCCGGACCGGCGTTACAGCCGCAGGGCGCCCTGACCCGCCGGGCGACCGCACCGGCGCCACAGCGGCCGCCCGGACTGGCGTTACAGCCACAGGGCGCCCTGACCCGCCAGGCGGCCGCACCGGCGCCACGCCGGCCGCCGGCATAACCGTGGTGCTCGCCGCCGCCAGGTGTGCCGACTCACCAAGGGCAACGTGTGCTGGCCAAAGCAGCCCGAAGGCGGACCGTGTGAGGGAGACTCGGCCTGCCTGAGCGGCAACTGCGACACCCACCTGGGCGTCTGCCTGCAGCAGGATGGATACTACCGGCGATAGCCGGCGATAGCCGGCCTGGCTCCGACGCTGGCCAGCCCAGCACCGGCGCTGGCCAGCCTGGCACCGGCGCTGGTCAGCCTGACCCCGGCGCTAGCCAGCCTGCCCCCGGCGCTGGCCAGCCTGACCCCGGCGGCGGGCTCAGAAAGCCGGTAAACGGATATCAAGATGCAGCGCGCGCCATAACAAAATGGAACGAAATGCGCCCCGCATGGGGAAGCTGGAGTAGTTTTGTTGATGTGCTCTTTAAATGTGTCATTACGTGTGTGCACATGTGCGTCCAGTTATGTAGGTTAGATCAGCACGCTTTGCGGCCCATAAATGGGCATCAGTGTCGGACGGTGCAACAAATCTTTCAAGTTCAAATAAAGCTTCTCGTCCGGATTTCGACGTCATTATACAGATTACGCAGAATGCCACACAGTGCACTTAACTGCTGACATGCAACAAATGTCAAGTGTTAACCACGACTAAAGCTAGCGCATGTGCATTGCCAGCATCATTTGCATGCTGCTGCATTTCACACATCGAATCCCTCGCGATGAATGATCGCCTTAACGCCGCACAGGAAGTGTAGCGGAGTGCTGCACCGTTTCGTTTAGTGACCCGCCCGCTGCGAACGGGGAGGCTCGGCGTGCGACGATCCGGGGGCGCCTGCCCGGCACCTCCGGAGCGGGGCTCACCTGGCGGCCGAGGTGGAGGCCGTCGCCGGCAGGGCGCCCTGCTGTAGGGTCAGCATCTGGCCGGGCGACAGCGACGAGAGCCGAGCGCCGCCGTCGGCCAGCGGCCGCCCGTCCAGCCGCAGGTCCTGCTGGCACGGAGGGATGTCCGTCTGCGCCTGCAGCACGATCTTCAGCGTCGCTGCAAAAAACGGCGCAAGTGTTGATGTACACACGGTGTAACGGTGGACGTACACAAAGCGTAACGGTGGACGTACACACGGAGTAACGGCGGATGTACACACGGTGTAACGGTGGACGCACACACGGCGCAACGGTGGACGTACACACGGCGCAACGGTGGATGTACACACGGTGTAACGGTGGACGTACACACGGCGCAACAGTGGATGTACAAACGGCATAACGGTGGACGTACACAAGATGTAACGGTGGACGTACACACGGCGTAACGGTGGTCGTACACACGGCGTAACGGTGGATGTACACACGGCGTAACGGTGAATGTACACACGGCGTAACGGTGGGCGTACACACGGTGTAACGGTGGACGTACACGCGGTGTAACGGTGGATGTACACACGGCGTAACGGTGGACGTACGCACGGTGTAACGGTGGACGTACACACGGCGTAACGGCGGATGTACGCACGGTGTTACGGTGGGCGCACACACGGCGTAACGGTGGACGTACACATGGCGCAACGGTGGACGTACACACAACATAACGGTGGACGTACACAAGACGTAACGGTGGACGTACACACGGCGTAACGGTGGATGTACACAGGGTGCAATGATGGGTGCACACACGACGCAACGGTGGATGTACACAGGGTGCAATGATGGGTGCACACACGACACAACGGTGGATGTACACAGGGTGCAATGATGGGTGCACACACGACGCAACGGTGGATGTACGCAGGGTGCAATGATGGGTGCACATACGACGCAACGGTGGATGTACATAGGGTGCAATGATGGGTGCACATACGGCGCAACGGTGGACGTACACACGGCGTAATGGTGGACGTACACACGGCGTAACGGTGGACGTATACACGGCGTGACGGTGGACGTACACAGGGTGCAATGATGGGTGCACACACGACGCAACGGTGTACGTACACACGGCGCAACGGTGGACATTGGGTGGGACGGGCATGGCCGCTGAACCAAACGGATTGTGTTCAGATGGATGATACGCACCGAGTGCAGGAGGACAGGCCGACGCTGCATGCACCGACAGGCCGACATGCACCTTTAACGCTAAGCGAGAGGACGGCCGCGGCGAACCGAGGCCGAGGCCGTGGTGGACCCAGCGGCAACAGGCGCACGTCTCAGGGATGGCAAATTCTCCGAGATTGTCCTGCTTCCTGGTTCGGGTCGTTTTGAAGCATTCAGTTTGCTGCGTTTCAAATTACGTACACACACGCTCAAGTGAAGAGATAGCCTCTGTGAAACTCATGGAAGTGGCGTTGTCGGACTCAGGGGACACCGTGCGGAACGCGCCACGCAAACCGCAGGTAGCTTGGATGACATGCCAAAAACGGTACTTACATACAGTTTCTGTCGATGGGAGTGTGATCTCCAGCACTCTGCCATAGTACATGACTCTGAGGGGCGTCACGTCCACGGGCGACATCGGGTCTGGCGGGTCGACCCCGCATGAGACCGATACGCCCACGCTGACATCTGGCGGGTTATTCAGCTCCTGAATTTGCACGCCATCACCGGCAGGTGGCAGCAGCTGAGAGTCTTGAGGGATGACCCGGTTCACAGCCTCCTGAAAGCGGACATAAACATTAAAACGACATTAAAACGGACATAAAACAGACAAACAGACTCACTTAAGCCAATTTGGGTCGTCTACTGCCCACCTACGAACTAACGAAGCGCAGCATGCACGTGACTACAAATGTCGACGCGCTGGGCTAATGTGGCGCGTCCGCCTACACGAAGGAACGTCTCGACCCCTCACGCTATGGACAACACTACTGCCCGCGGAGCTTGGTCTTGATACCCGACCCTCTTATCCTCTTCCCAGCTTCATCCCGGATCCTCGCGACGCCCCGCTCAGCCGGGGCAGGCTGCATGCGTCAGCCACGAGTGGGCCGAGAGGCCCCCTGGAGAGGACCCCGACCGGGCGCCTAGCGCACACCCCGCAGAGGGGGACCCTGCGCGGGCTAAGGCTCGATGGTTGGTCCCCCAAGCGCATGTAGTCCTGCCCCACCGTTATCCATTCTCCCTCATTCCACAGCCCTGAAACGATCATTTCTGGTCGAAAGAGCTCTAATCCAAACAACCCAACTTAGCATCCAATCATGCCCAGACCGCTCTTGATCCGCAAGATGTGCGGCGAAGCCAGACGTTGACACTCGTCGTTGCATGACACTGCATATTCTACGCTACCGTGCTGTTAGAGACGCTTAAGGTCCGGAGCGCGTTTACCACGCATCGAAATGTCGCCCATGAGTTATTCGACAACGTAACTGATCACATTAGGACGATAACTTCACTTGCGCTACCAACAACTTGGTATGGTAAAACAAGAAGGATTTTTATATTTCAAAAGTCGCGGAACACGCCAAGCGCAAACTTGTCTCCGCCCACAGGCGGGGTCAGTGGCAGCACGGCGAGGAAATCCTGCAGCCATGATTCATAGCCAAGAACTCCCGAGGTCATTGTCACAGGCCAGGTCAACAGCACGGTCAGGTGACATCGCCGAGCGCCAAACTCACCAGGAGGTTCCAGTCGGTCTCCTCCAAGTGGATCAGCGCTTCGCCCACATCCTCGATGCCGGTGCAGGCCTGGGGAACGCACCCGCGCAGTGAGTTGAGAGCAATGTTGAGCATCTGAACGGGCGCGTCGCACCGACACCAGCCATGGGAGTCCAGTGAACTCAAGTACAGGAGTCTATCCAGTGAACTCAAGTACAGGAGTCTGCTGATATCACGGGCTGGAGTCCTGGGAGCCAATGTCGACAGCTGATAAACCGTAACGGCGAGCGCAGTTGAGAAGTCGCCAAGTTTGAGGGCTATTGCCTAGCCCTACTTTACGTGAGATGGACAGCAGGAACGACAATAAATGAATGACGGTGCATGAATGGCAATAAGTGAATGGCTATCCCAATTCAACCCTTAAAACCACGTCATCTGTCGGTCTACAACCATGAGTGTGCACGTCTTTCATATCACTGATTCAGTGAGTATTACCATTCATTCAGATTCAGAGTCAATGATAACATATCAGTAAGTGCTATCATTGACATATTATCAGTGATTCAGTGAGTATCAGCACGGTACGATCACGACCACACAGTCCGGGCATCGAGCGTCCACCTGACGCATCGCACCTGAAAGTTGGCGAGCAGCTCTTCACGGTTGCACTCCATGGTGTGTGACTGGCGCCACTGAAACCAACCAGACGCGAGTCACCTCGCTGGAAGCAAGCACCGTCGTCAGGCCACAGCACAGCCGATGTCAGGCCACAGCACCAGTGATGTCGCCACAGCTGAGACTGCCGCCGTCATGTCACAGCACCAGTGACGTCACACCAGCTGAGACTGCCGCCGTCAGGTCACAGCACCAGTGACATCACCTCAGCTGAGACTGCCGCCGTCAGGTCACAGCACCAGTGACATCACCTCAGCTAAGACTGCTGACGTCAGGTCATAACACCAGTGACGTCACACCAGCTGAGACTGCCGCCGTCAGGTCACAGCACCAGTGACATCACCTCAGCTAAGACTGCGGACGCTTCAGTCAAACACCGGACGTCACAACCAGCGAGACTGCCGCCGTCAGGTCCACAGCACCAGTGACATCACAAAAGCTGAGACTTGCCCGACGTCACCCCTGGCCGGTCACCATACAACCTTCGGCCAGTGACTCCCTAATTTATCGTGTCTGCTGTGGCGGCAGCTGGGCCATATTTCGCCGTAGGCTCCATGCGACGCGGCTCGAATGCTCTATTTCACCAGTGTCGGCCTAAATCCGGTCACATTCTAGCATTTAGGCCCCAAAAGGCGAAACGTGCATGCTAGACCTTTACTTCACAACGTGACCTAGAAGAAAAACATCAAATCAGACAAATGGTTCAGTTCACGGACCACACTCGCAAATGTCACGCCATGGCTTGGAAATTCCACAGTGATTACATAAAGATGCGACTCATCACTGTTTGTGCCGCAGCAACGTGAACATGGTGACGGGCCCCAAAACCGGAGAACGGCAGTTCTCTTCCACGGGGTGACCGACCACAAATAGTTATTCACTACCGCAAGCCCAGGCATCACTGCACAAGCGGCCGTAATGGATCTAACCTTTCAAGATAACACGCTGGAGACGGCCAATGCCGGTTTTTAGCCCTCCTGGAGAAAGTCCGCGGCACTGAAGGTCTGGTCCCGAACCACGCGACGGTCGGGAACACAATGCGCTCAAATAAGGATCAGCATCCCGTTTTTCGTCACGCCCTTTTCGCAGGTGCCCTTTCGTGTCACTGAGGCTTAAAGGAGCACTCAGCTGATGAGACTACATGGCTCACCTGCCTCTCATCTTGGCAGGAATGGTGGGTAGAAAGGTGGTAAGCAAACAGACTACAAGGCCTGGAATTGAGCAGAGCAGGGTGCCCAGATCTGGAAATGATGGTATTTTTATCTGGATCTATAGAGCAACATTAACTAAGTTGCATGTGAAGCTATTGGACAACCTTGACTTCAATATATTTAAATCCTTTGCTGTGGTGAATTTTGCATGTTTTATTTACATTTGACATATATTTCTTTAACTTACACTTCTCTATTAACAATTTTCTTTTAACTGCCATTCACTCATTTTGACTTACTACACATTACTTCCTGCATTCAAACTTTATGATAATTTGACTTATACCTCTCAATATTTTAATATCTTCATAAAATATTCACAGGTTGGGACACAACCACTCCAGGAGATATGCTGGTCCAAAGTGGCATCCCTCTGGTGCATAGTTCTGCCTCTCCTCAGCACACATGAGGCTGCTGCAGCTCCACTGGATGACAGTGAGTTTGACAGCAAACATCCATTTTGAAGAAGCCTTCTGGTCTAACATTTAGCTTGTGAGATGCTATCTGGCAGACTAGGATCATTTCACCTCTACATCTCCTATGGTACATACTTGACAGGTGTACCTTTTCAGGTGCTCTTTGTAGTTCAGTTGTGGGTCTCTGCAACAAGTTTGGTGGCACATGTCTGAAAATGCTCCACAGAATTCTAGCCCCAACACAGCATTGGTCTCAGATGCTGCTTCTATATTCCAGAAGTTGATAAGCCAATCCTTTAACAGCATGGACAGTATCTGGCTTTCAGTTTAGCAAAGGTCACTTTGACCAGACTCAGGGCTCAGGTGGCTTTCACACCAGCTCTGACAGCATGCACATGGTAAGCAAGGCCTTCACCAATCTTTACTACTGTCTTATTCACCTGGTACTCTCTCAAGTTCTGTTCCTGCTACCCTGTAAGCAAACCTTGGGTTTAGCTTATAAGTACTGCACTGAATCTAGCACAAAGTCTAGGACTACACATCTGACCCATAGCCCTGTAGTTTTGCACACTGGAGGGCATCTTCAATTTTTCCAATTACAGATCAAGCTGGTCTAATCCTCCTTGCCTATCCATCTCCAATGGTCAGCTATCAGTACACTGTTGAGTTATCCACATGCATCATCTGATTTCTCCAGTTGGTCATCAACTCCAATATCATCTGTGGTTGGTTGGGCAAATAACTGATATAGGTTAGGACCAGCATGGGCCCCGGCACCATGCCCCAGGTGTGATGCTGTTTTCACTTGGTGCCAGACCCTGGGTGATGCCACTGGTTACTGGGACCCACTTAATTTGCCCTTCTATGACCACTCCTGTCAGTAAAAAACCTTCTACATATTGGTAGAACACAACATCTTGAGACTAGTGCACTGCTGGTCACTTTCTACCCCAGCAGTCCTTCTGTTCCACACAGTCAAAAATACACACATCAAATGAGAAAACTAGGTCTAATAAGCTTGGTTAACACCCTGGCCTAAAATGAGTAAGAAACTTGCCATAACACAAGAGAAGTTATTGACATAGTTAAGATGCATGTGTAGACAGTGATTCTAGCAAACATTTGAGGAACATGTTACCCAGCATAATTTGCTATGGTTGAAGTTATCAACCATCTCTGTTTGTCTTGGTTTCCTGCATATTGCTTCTCTGAATATAGAGCAAGGAACATTACTTAAACTTTATCTACCAATACTTAGGTTTCTCATAAAAAGCTCCAATGAGCAGGTTTTATGAAGCTTATACATTAACTTGAATCCATATCCTTCCCAGAATCTGCATTTCAATGCACATATCCCACTCTCATCTGGACTGGCATCCTAAGACTCATCCACTAGAGGGTCCAGGATGTATATCAAAATTCATGTTGCCAAAATCATGGCTCTCTAGCAGTATCCACCTGCAATTTGTTGGTGCTAACCCATAGCTCTTGGACTCAAAACTCAGATATCTGATCTGCCTGACTGCCAAGTCTGAGATGTTCACATGCTGGGTTGGATGTTGCCTGGTTTTATATTAGTACAATTTGAGCAACGGGCAAGGTGGTAACAGGCAGAGGGGGCAACAGACAGCAAACCCAAATCTGGGTTAAAATAGCATGACAAATATTGGCATCATTGCCACCTAACCAGCTGAGCATCAAAGCATTGATGTGGAATTCTAGGTCTTCAAATTCCTGCTTGGTTTCCAGTTTAGCAGGTCCCTACCACTTGGCATTTCATTCTATAAATAGTGTTTGTATCTACCTTCTTATCATCAAAGAAAGCACCCACATGTCTTTCCTTCACTAATTAACTCCCAGCATTAGCTATCAATATTACAGGTGCTGTAAGACATAAATACATCCATACATTGATACCAACCAAATGCATCACATTTTGAAAGCTTGGAGACCTTAATTTTGTACAGCTCTTCTCCACATGTTATACCACAAACGTGATGATATATGACACAAAAACTAGTGTCATTATCCTGAAGGCACCCTCCTGTCCAATGCTTGCCCTTTCTCCATAATTTATGTCCAAACAATGCTTATTCACTTGAGGTTTGTAACATATTTCACATTTCCAATGAGCAAACAGATTTTAATCAAACAAATGGCTTAGATATGGAGCAATGATCAATGACAAGCCAGGGTAATATCCGATCCATTTCAAATCTGCACAACTGCATAGGCTGTCCCTCAGCGGACAAAACCAGATGCAGTAGCCCTTACCTTGGTTCTGTGCAGTAGATCTCAGCAAATTATCAGCGCAATCCTAGCGCTGCTCTTCTGAAGGAGACAAAACCACTCGGCTGATTCGGCGTCGAACGTGGACGCAATATGTGCAACTTCTGGATTAATACACTTGTCACTGCGCACATCAACCCATGAGCCTGCGGTACTTTACAAGCAGCAATGGAAACACACAACCGGAACTTCAGATATCCACAATAATACCTGTGTTGTGAAATGCAAGCTACTAAGTCGCCTCAAACGAAACAAACAAAGCCCACAGAGCAGAGCAACCAAACCACTCGGCGTTCGCTGGAAGCATCACAATCATCAACACAATCCGCACGCTCACGATGGCGCATTTATCTCAAACGCAAGGTAATAGAGAGCTACCATATCCCAGAACTATTCGTGAGCTGCATCAAAACAGTAAAGGAAATTATTTTCCGCAGGATCTTATATCATGCGTCATTACGGCTCGATGATGTCAATGCAATTTTTTCCTTTAAGTAACATTATCAACAGGTATCAAGTTTTTTAATCTTGTCACGTGAAATACATTTATTTGAAATCCAGGTTTATTTTTAATTGGCTCTATAAAGATCATCATAATCATGTGCATACCATCATAGAAAAGATAAGGTCAGCATACATATTGTATCTGGATACCATGAGATCCCATGATCCAGAATATGGAGACCATCAATGAAAACACTTTGAGACAGCGGTGTAGTCCAGACATTTGGCGGTTTCAGTGCCCACGACTTGGGCTCCAGTCCCGCTCCCCTTAAAAAACAACTTTGAAACGAAAGTGACCTGAATCCGTGGAGGAAGCTGTTTGACGGTGCCTCTTTAAGGTGGGTTTTGTAATTTCTCCTGATCAGTGTCTTCCCCTTGCCCCCCCCCCCCCCCTTCTCAGAAGTCATTTTGTTGAGTGCTTCCTCCTGGTCCTTGGGCCTCCAGTTTTTCTGCAATCTTTCTATCAATTTATCTATCTATCAATCTGTACATCTTGTTCTGCAAGGCTACCGATGAACCAGATATTTCAAGCAAACCTTGTAAGATTGTTTCACAGTCGTCCTCAGCCATCTGTTACGTCACATAGTGGCTTTTCACCCATGAATCTTCAACTCTGCATGCCAATTGGTCCTTAAGTGTCATGGGCGCTGCATGACCTTCAGCAGTCGATGCGCCCTAAAACCCCAAATCATCATGATCATCATCACGGTCCTTAAATGTCCACCTCATGTGCACAAGTACAAGCCTTGCCCACCACTGTATGGGCTGCGATGGCTTTTCGACGCATCTCTGACAAAACAGAGCACAGTGTACCGCACAGCTGCGCTGCCCCATTGTCCATGGACCAGGGGTGGTTTTGGGGGAACCGGCTTAGTGACTCGGGGTCTAATGTCACTTCGCTGAAAAGAGCAGAAACTCATGACTCCAACAATTGGCTCTTAACCCTTTAAAAAATTTCAAAATCTCAAGTATTGCGAGTTTTGCCTCCTGGTGTAATACCATACATTGGAAGAGTGTTAAACGAGACATCTTGACACTTACCGAAGTACCTGCCAGGCCAGTCTTTAATTACATCTACTTTGTAGGACACCTACAGGAAATTGACATTGTCGACCTAGTGTCATGGTTGTTGAGCCCAGTCTAGGCCAAATTGTGCTGATTTTCAACAATTGTGTGAAAAATCTGCCTTTGGATTATATTTGCCTGAAATTACCTTTGCAATGTCATAATTACTTGAAAAATTGGCACTCTGTGCAGAAATTGTTGGCACCATGCCCTTAACTTTGGGTGTTTTTATTTAGTACATGCATGCTCTGAAATTGTTGCTGTGTGGCTGTCTGCTACACCAGACATGTTTGCATTTTTGCAGTTGTGCTACCAGTTAGGTACCTCTACTAAGCTGGCTCTTGCTTTCCACCAGACCCTCATTGATGTTTAGGCTCTTAGGATCATTTGATAATGGGGACTCAGTCACCAATACTCAAAATAGTTTTGCCAAAATTTGGAACCCCAGCTCATATTATTCTGGGGTATTTTTCAGAAACTTTTGGATGGTTGAATTCCTGAGATCAGAGCTTGTACTGAATAGAATTTGTTGTGTGAGCCCTGACTGCTGCCATTGGAACCTGAAATTTCATTCAGGGCCATAATTTGGTAGCTACAGTTTTACATGCACCGTATGGTCTCGGCAGATGAGTGTATTGCATAGCTGCAAAGTTTAAGGTGTTGTGATGTACTGCACTGCAATGCATGTTAAGCATCATGCTGATGCCTAAGGAGTTTAATCATGGGTTGAAGCATACATAGCATAACATTTGAAAATATTGCCTTCTAGCACAGTTGTCCATGTTTTTCTTAGCTTTCATGTTTCATGCTTTACTTCTAAGTTGTTGTCAGCTGGCTGGGTTCTCAGGCAGCTTGTTTGATGATACTGTATGGCATTCTCGAGGCCTTTAAAGGCTTTTGCACTGTATGACATATGGAGTACCAGGCTTCCTTTACTTGGCTACTTGTAGAAGTCTGCTGTAGCTCCAGCTCTGTGTGATAGTGTTCCAGTAGCACACATTGTCAGCTTCATTCTGGATTACCAGATCTTAAAATATTTTGTCATGATTAAAACTATGTTTATATGAGGAGGCTAGATTCTTCAGTTATTCCATAACTTTGAAGTAATTTTATAGGCCTATGGCCATTTGAGTTTGATAGCTTTAAGCTTCTAATCCATGTGGCTGAAAGAGACAATTGCCATTCACAAGTGTGATGTAGGTTGTGTGATTGATAGTTGCCTGACATATAGCATTTGAGAAACATTTCTCTTCAAATTAATGCAGTCATTAAAGGTGCAGCTTTCAAAACAAGCATGGCCTGTTCAAACACTGAGCATTTGTCATGCAGCTGGTGATACTTTAAATCTTCTAGCACAGTACATTATTATGCCTGTGTGTAAAGCTTCACAAACCTAGCAATAAAGCCTGAGTGTTGGGTCCATAACCATTTTCAACTCATTTTCATTGTGTGTCCTGTTTTCCTAACACCAAGTCTAACAAACATTTCATGTAACCTGTAGATGATGGATATCTTTGAACACCGAATCATCACGTAAGTATTAGCCTCTTGGTGCCATCATGGCACAGACTGAATGTTTCCAATATCAGATGAAATACAAGGATGTGATAAGCATGAGTGTCTGGTAGAATCAATAGCAAAAGGTTTGTGCAAAATATTTTGTCTGCAACATTGCTTGCAGCAGCTGTCCTGTTGCCAAACAGGACTCTGCTTGTGTGGGATTTGAGAGGATTGCAAGCGAAACTTCAAAACTGAAATAGACAATTCCATTGAGAGCCTTGTCGAGAGGTGGCACTTGTAAAAAATTGGCTATCGCTTGCATGACCTAAGCATTAATATTCAGTGGAAAGGGGTTGGTCATGCTCGCGTGGCTCACCTGCCCTTGTATGGTGTCAATAATGCCTTCCGTGTTAATTGCATATCTGTGCATGTTTAAACATGTTTTGTGGCTCTTTTGCTTTCCAGCTGAAGAACTCAGGGTAGTGCAGTCTCGAAACATTGCTGAGACAAACTGTTGGTGTCAAACTGACCGCACCTCACTGTCCTAATGTGGTGATGTCAAACGCTAATCAGCTCATGTGTTTGCACGCCGTAGCTCATTCCACGTTGTTTTCAGCGTCACCAGGAATCTCAGCTGCGTATGATATGGGTATGATCACTTGCCCTACTCTCCATTGTTCCGTTACAGGTCCGCCCAAAAGCGCATCTCTCTGGTGCCATACTCCTTGAAAACCCTGTGCGGAAACATTTACCTGGACTGGGATTATGCCTTTGATACTCTTATGGAGCCATTATTCTGGATGGTGGACAACTTTGCCAAGGCTATTGGCCCGGTAAGTGCATTGTATATGTTGTGATTCTATCCAACTTCTGTGTAAATATGAACAGCAGTGTTGTGAGATTAAAAGGAGCATTGCAACATTAAGTGGTTTGAAGCGTTCTGGGCCACTTAACTCGGTCCAAGGGAAATGCAACCGTTGAACGTGCAGGTGCACTGAGTGCAAATGTTTCTATCGTGCCTAACGTCAGGCACCCGTGGGTCCTCGAATGCAGGCAAAGCAAGTGGCAAGTGTTTTAAGTATGACGTGGGGTAGTGTCCCACACGTGTAGGTTTGACATGTTTTCAACATATTCCATGCCATAGACGATTGGTATCTGATTACAGATCTTCGTGTGCATGGTGTTTCTCCTGACCGGACTGTTCATGTACGTGGCATACACAATCGGCGTGCCGTACTGGAGAGACCGCAGTACGCCCACCCTAGTCATCCTCTTCATCGTGGGCCACTGGATCTTCGTCAACGTCGTCTTCCACTACATCTACGCCTTGACCACATCGCCCGGTCACCCACCACAGGTGAGCTGCGTCCGCGAACGCCGCTAACCAGGCTGAAAAGATGGTGCAAAACGTGGGTCATGAAGCTGCCAGGTTTCCTGACCTTTTTTAGGGTGATGTGGCAGATAATGTGATGCCGCATGCTCACAATGTTCCTGGGGATAAATCACAGTCGTGATGCACAGATCGGTCCCTAGGCTGCACCTACCAGAAACGAGATCCATCAAATCGTTTTCGTGTACTGCTAAAAAGCCAGAAATGTCTGGCTAAAAGACCCCTTTGTGGTCCCGGCAGCTTGGTAAATTGAAATATTATCAAAGTTTATGGGGGTGTAATGGTCGACTCGTTAGAGCGTCGGACTCCCGCGTGGGAGCCCGGGTTCGAATCCCGGTTGCGCCTTGGCCCCTGAGCGTTAATATGACCATTACAGTCGCGCACCTTGGCCCCGGCCTCAAATCACATTAGAGAGCTTAACCAGCCCGATGCAACTCGCCACTCTCTGGGAAATCTTCACCAAAAGGGATGTTCAACACAACTTGACGTCGCCCCACCGGTCGGAACATGTGTGCGGCAGGATCACTTACAAGTCACAATATCGTAGCGTCGAAGGCTAAAGCTGGCAGAAAATGGCAACCTTACGGTACGTGGCTTCGCGCCGAATGCCCTCTGGCCGTTGTAAGGCCAACTAGCGCCGGACGGCTGTCAGGGAATGTACCGTCAGAAATATTCGGCGAATAAAATCAGCGATGACGGCAGTATTTGTATGAATTGTAACATCTATTTTTCACATTACTTACCTCAAACGTTCCACCAGCCCCTGGCCTATTGCTGGCTTGAACCCCACATAGTTACTATCGCGTGATCAAAGCATTCTGTGCCAAAACCAAGAAGCTACACGAATCAGAACAGCTTGACGGGGCTACGTATTTTATCTCAAACGGTTCTTAGGTTACCCGGCCTCTTCATGTGCATTCAAGGGTCGCAGTAATATATGGAGCACAATTCATTGTCCTTGATATCAGCCAGAAGGCGTGTCACAGAGTCTTCACTGATCACAGTCTTTCACTGGATATATTCAGCATCCAGCATATCGCCGCCCCCACTCACTACGGTGTTCTTGACCCTACTGGTGCAGCACAGCGGGGTCCAAGAAGCTCAGTCAGCAGCGATTTCAGCTGATAGGGAACCCCAGTTGGCTTCCCGGCTGACTGTTCAGCCTGCGTGCAATGCCTGACCGGTGCGTGGTACCTAACACTCTGATAATAAGAGATCGCGGCCCAAGAAGAGATCACGGCATTATAAGAGACCGTGATGCGGGCACCGAGTTCCTTTCAAACCTTGATTTAACCTGTGTATTTGTGGTATTCGGTGTCCACGTTGCATTAAGGCGTGGCGTATCTTGGAGGTGACTCTATCGTTTGGATGTGTCTGAATTTGTGTCATGAACATTGACAAGTGTCATCACAAGTGTCATTCCTCCTCGGCTATTCATGGATCTCATCTTCTTTTGCAGGGAGCTCTGGTTCCGGAGACAGCTAGCATATGCCGCAAGTGCATCGCCCCCAAGCCACCTCGCACACACCATTGTACAGTGTGCAATAAATGTGTGCTCAAGATGGACCACCACTGCCGTATCCTTCTCTTGAGCTCAAAGGCAACGGCGCTGCTGTCAACGATCGTGGAGAAATGTAGGGTACAGCTAGTCAGTCCGATTTATGCCGTTTAAACGGCACTCGGTCGCGGGATGATGACGTCATGACATTTAGTGCGTGAGCGTGTGATCTGGCTAGCGACCGAAAATGTTTCCCTTCCCACCCAGTGGCTGGCATGTAAAAGGCGGGCGCGCGGGAAAAAAAGTATTCATCATACAGGCAATAATGGGAAGCCTCGAAGTAAGCCCTTTCGAGGGCGATCAGGTGGCATTTCGGAATTTGCGCCCGTCGGTGTTCACGCGGTGCTGATTGCGGCATCCGCGAGCTTGTTTTATGGCTGTGGATAGATTTTGGTATTTATGGTGATGCGCTCCGATATCATTGTGAGACAGCTTTCTTCGGTTTTGTGAGAGTCAGATTTGTGGTTAATGTGTGAGAGGAACATGTGGCACCTTCCTTTTTCAAGCATTGGCGCATTTACTACGCGGCAAAGATGTTAAATCCTTAACGCAGTTGCCAGCATGGCTGAACCAGTGTGTTGGCCACTACAACCACCGCTTCTTCTACATGTACATGGTGTACATGGTGCTGGGCACCCTGTTCGTCATGGTGTTCGGCTTCGACATCCTTGTGAAGGAATACTACGGAGAGGAGCTGGAGCCGGTGCTCCTGCCGGTGGCCGACGATACCCATCGTCTTCCAAATGAGTCGGAGGTACGTCGCAGGTTCCTCCAACCAGTTTGCGCTGCTTCCGAGTATATTTAGCGCGAGCAGGGCGTGTTATTACACCTGATTGGGTCCATCCCATCCCTGATTGGGTGCGTCCATCCCTGAAGTCCACGGTGCGGGTCCCAAGACTCGAGCACAGTATTTCATCCGCGAATTTGATGAATAAGAGGGGGAAGGGGCAACGTGAAATTTGAGGGTATCTTCTAGAAATGGAACGGTGGCGCCAAAAAAGTCACATTCCATATCAGGAGAGGGCGCATTGAGATGGACTGGCTGCAACCTCAATGCAACCACTTTTGTAATTAGTGCACATTACCAAGTGGGGTGTGTTTGTGTTAGACTAACCGGATATATTACCAAATGAGATGTATTTTGCGTTACGTAACCGGATATAAAGCAATCTCGTGTACCTATCAAGGCGGCAGTCTGCTCGTCAGTTTCACATTCAGCAAATTTGTCAACGCCTGCCGTTCTTCGAAGGGTGGTCCATGTCTTCCGTTGATGTTGCGGCGAGTTAGGAACTTCGTTAAAAAAAGAAAATGCACCAGTAACGATGTATTGCAGCCATCACAGATTCACCATAAAGCACAAACGGCTGATGACATCGCAGCACGAAATGGACAAGGGGACATGATGCAGTCGTATCACAAATATATACAGGTACAATATCCCTCAAAGCCGACGCCAGTCAGCGCGATAATCCGGCCACCCCCTGACGGCCCGCCGGCGTTTACGCGTTCTTGAAGCTTCCGGAGGTCTTGCCGAGCGCGCTGGCCGAGCGTCGGATCTTGCGCCGCTCGGCATGGTGCCGCAGCGCCTCCTCGCGCCGGCTGGGGTCGCGCTTCTTCTTACCCACCGCGAACGACATCTGCCGGTTGCCGAAGCCGCCCACGTGCTGCACGGTGCCCGCGCTCTGCTGGCGCCGCAGGCGATCGCCGAGGCTGGCGCGCTTCTCGCGTCGGTCGCCGCCCGTGATCTCGCGCACGCTGTCGCCCTCCAGCACGCGGACGGGCCGCGCCGCCGGGTTCGGCACCAACTCCGGCCGCGCTCGCCGCTCCTCCTCTTGGCGCTGCCGCTGGCGCCGAAGCCGCTCCGTCTGGTAGGTTTCCTCGTCAGAGCTACCCTCGTCGTCATCATCGTCGTCGTCCTCCTCTGAGCTCGGTCGGCCCTCCGGCTCCTCCCGCTCCCGGCGCTGCTCCTCCTCTTGCCGCCGACGTTCCTCGGCCAGCCGCATCTTGCGCTCCAGCTTCGCCGCGCGTTGGTCTTCCATCGAACTCAGCACCGGGTTCAGGAGCTTGAAGGTTTCGGACTCGCGATCTACGGTGAAGTCGGGGTTCTGGAACATCGCCTTGAAGCGTTCGTCCTCTAGCAGGCCCTGCGTCGACTTCCTCTTCTTGATGTTGGAGGATTTGGCACCGTTCATCAGTTTCAATGCAATCTCCTTATTGACAGCAGGCAGCTTTGTCAGCTTGACGCGGTTGTCCCTAGTGGCATCTAGCTTCTCCTTGATCTTTTTCTTTCGGTACTCTTCGAAAGCGAAAGGATCAGCCACGGACTTGGCCTTCTTGTAGAGCCGTATGTCGACAAAGAAGCCATGCATGTATGCTCGGAGCAGATTTGTGCCCAGGAGGTGCGTAAGACCCAGATCATCAAGTTCTTGTCGTGTCACAAACTTATAGTTGTCATAGATGGTGGTGACCTCAGATTCCTCCAGCTCTTCTGTGAGGTTATCAAGGAAGTTGCACCACTTGGGAGCAGGGCCAATGGATGGAACATAGTAGGTCTGCACCTTCTGAGCTTCATTGGCAATGAAGAGCAGTCCAGTGTTGGGCACTGTGCACAAATTGTTCAACTGCTTATCAGAGGAGATGGATGTGTAGGGGTTGCCTGAATCACTGTCCCATATTTTGACCACTTTGGCATCCATGGACATGACCAGGTCCATGTTGTTCTGGAACCTGATGTCTTTGATGGGGAGCTCATTGTAATGGTCTTTCACCCTCAAGGGCTTGTCTGACCTAATGTCATACAACAGCACCTGACCTGTGCTCAGACCCACACCAATTTGAAGGGCCCCATTCATCTCCAAGGCAGTGACACTAGGTGCATCCTCTAGTTCAGGGTTGGCCTCCAAAGCACCTGCAACACAGTCCAAGACTCCACATCTTGTCCGTGATCTTGGATCCCATGCTTCAATTTTTCCCTCCTGTGTGCCTGCCATAAGGAGCTGATGATCTTTGTTGATTTTGCAGACATTGACACATGTGGCTTCTGTCTGAAGGGGACTAAGAAAGCAACCCCTTTCAAGGTTCAGACGATACATCTCACTCCCAGAACATGCAATGTACAGGTCACACGACTCTTTGTGGTATGCCATGTCTCTGTTGTACTTTGGAACCCTGAGCCGAAAGTACCGACCCCCCTTGGTGTGCAGCTCAATGTATCTGTCTTGCTGCAAGAATATGAGCTTACTGAAGTCATCGCTCAGGAATTCAAACTTGACAACTTCATTGTCAAAGCAGCGTTCAAACTTCAGTGAAAGCTCGTTCACATCATAGCACTTCATTGTTGGTTTGTACATTCCTGTCACCACAATGTACTGCTGATCTGGTGACAAACCTATGCAGGAGCTCACGCCTGGCATGTCAAAATCCTGTATCAACTCGATTCTCCTACTTATCTCCACATCTTTCTTGAGAAGAGCTCGTCTTTTCTTTTCCGACAGCCAGTCGGGCAGTGATTTGCCTGCTGTTAGATTGTAGATCTTGATGTTGTTTGGGTTCGAAACCTGCATGTTGCAGTCAAGTTTAACCTTCAAGCTTTAGTTTACTTATCCAGGGGGCAACTAACCAAAAACTAAGCTTGTAGTAACGCACCGCGGCCCACAGACTTCCATTCCACAGCGATTACAACGTGCTCGGCGGCATTCCGTGCCTGTGCGCTTTGTGGCGCTCAAGAGTCAACTAATGTTCATCGCGTTAATCTACTGCCGTAATGCTTATCACTAAAATGTGCTGCCAATGTCGGTTTTTTTGGTGTGCAGTGTATTGTATTGGCCGGTTTCGGCATTGTTATCCATGATCGTGAGTTGGTGGGTTTTGGTGGCGCTCCGACCTTTGTTTGTATGCCGTAAGATTACCTGCGCTGTATGCCGTTAAACCGTGCCCAACGAATTATGATAATTTACGTCAGGGTGAAGGGCGGGGGGTGAGGGAATGGGGTGATGAAGTGTAACCTAAGTGTAACAAGAGAGATGGGGGTTGGGTGGCGTATCTTTATGCTCAGTTTCAAAAATTTTAAAAGCCTTTTAAAAGCAATGATCCCCATTTGAAGAGATCGGTGCAACAAGAGAGATGGGGGTTGGGTGGCGTATCTTTATGCTCAGTTTCAAAAATTTTAAAAGCCTTTTAAAAGCAATGATCCCCATTTGAAGAGATCGATGAAGCAAGCGTCACATATGATGAAATTAATTTACTGATAGCTGTTGGTATATCTTTAGTGAAAAGGACTGCTCCAGACAACACAGTGTCTGTTAGTGAAAAGGCTGCTGAGTACGTCAGTTTGGTCACGTTATCGCGCCTTGCACAATATTGATTTAGAGCCATTTGATGGCCGTTAACATCTGGGAATCGTACACACGTGCGCCAGATCAACGACTTCATAATGATATTTTGTTTACCTTGAACGCGTCAAACAGCTAATGGAATGGCAGGGTTTGAACGGAGTTATTATGGTGTCATGGAAAATGTTCTCCCCGAAATAGTCTGCACATATTTGCGGACGTGTAGCTCAGTAACTAGATGGGTTTAAGTCTTATGAAGGTCAGGGCTGTAAACTGCACCGAATTATCTTCAAGGTGGCTTTTCAGTTTAAAGCCCGATACAAATTTGGAACACCCCTGCAAGCAATTTAAAACCTTAAAACTGAGTAATTTTGACTCCCTCTCATAACAACCAACACGTCAGACGCATGCGTTGCATCTCTAGTTCAGTGAAAGCCAAAGCGGGCGGCACTTTCCGGTAAATTGTGCTTACCGCAGTCACCAGAGGAAGTGGGGTTTCGCCCAGCATAACCAATGCGTAACGTGGGGAGGGGCTCGAAAATAGAAGTAAACCATGCGGAACGTAATGTATGGACAGTACGTATCAGTTCAGTCATTTTTTGCCACAGCATGCGGCAGTTGCGAGGAGACGGCGCGGGTGGGTTTTTGGTGGGCCCGCCGACGATCCAGTATTGAAGGGATCATGCTCGTAATGCCTTAGACCTTTCACGACGTTACATCTCTTCAGTATAAGAATACTAGTGAAGTTAAGATGCGAAAAGATTGTATATCTAGTCTAAGACTTCATCATGGGGTGATTGAAATTCTCGATTATCAGTTGGAGATGTGTTGTTTCTGAGGTGTCGGGCCTCCTACTTCCGTAGAGCTTCTTTGGCGGGCGACCTTAAGAAAGCTTGCAGTTTTTACCGGCCCGGGTTTCCGTGACGAGTAGCGACAGAAATGACTCATGCAGTCACATGAGTCATAACTTAAAACGACCAGTCCACTGATTACATAAATCACGCGTTGATTTGCGTAGGCCGTAGCGCTGCCGCTCCTGCTTAAACAGACTGGCGTCTCGGTCGCGGGAGATGTGACGTGGACCGACGCCGCGTTCGATGCAGCTCCCTTCCACCCCGTGCATCACAGCTGAGACGTGCCACCAAGTGGAGTGGCTCGTAGGAGATCTGGGACAGCTGGACGTCCAGCGACAGCAGTCCAATGTTGTGACTCCTGGTCCGCTGGTCACCGTGCCTCGCATAGCAGTGGCGACGCAACCTCGTCAGGTTGGCTGGGCGGGGGGAGGACAGTCAGCAATCCGTTCTGCTCATTTCTCGCCATGCATTGCCATCGGACTATTATTTATGCCCTCCAAAGTTGAGAAGCCGCCCTCCCCCCACCCCACCCCACCCCACCCCCACCCCACCCCACCCCACCCCACCCCACCCCCTCCCTCCCTCCCTCCCTCCCCCCTCTTCCCTATAACTCGTCCGCCATGCCGCGTAGCAGTTACGGCGAACAAACCGCCCATGGAAAGGAAATACCTCGACCGAAATCATCGCAGCATACGCATTACTCAGATTTAAGGGCGGCATCTGAGCTGGGCCGTCCCGTATGCTTGGATTTGTTGCATGTTTCAGGTCTCTCTTGGGAGCGCAGCACACGCAGCTCCAGGCAACGCCACCAGCTCATCTGGCTCGCGACGCCACAGATTTTTCGTTCTGTACGAATCGCTCACATCTCTAGGTAAGGCCCTTCACCGTACCGCTCCGTCACCGCTGAGGTTGTCCATACGTCAGCCCGAACGAGGCTGCATCGGCGTGCCATCGCACCAACCACCGTGCCAACCATCGCACCAACCACCGTGCCAACCATCGCACCAACGTGCCACGAACCAGCGATGATCGGCGGTGCTGACGGGCGATGTAGCTATGGCTGGGATCAGCTTGGTAAAGCCTATCATAAGCTCGACCGCGGTGCTGCCTGTGGGGACCGCTGGTCTTTAAGCGCTGCTTGATCTCCGGAGCGCAGTGCGGACGAGCATATCCCACATGGTCGCCATGATGTCGTTTTGGTCGATGTCCGACCACCACTCGGTGGACGACTGTGGCAAACACGGCATGGAAGTTGTGATCACGGACCCGAGAGTCGTCTGGGGAAATACGGGCGTTTGTCAGCACAGCGCTCTGTTTGCCGTGACTTGCCTGTCATGCCGCGTCCCCATTTATTGGTTGCATTTTCAGGCATATTTTTGGCGCTTGGCGGTCTGGTGATTTGGCACGGCAAGCTCATTAGCCGCGGAGAAACCAGTATAGAGGCGCATATTAATGCCAAGGAGACCAAGCGACTTCGCAAACAAAGCAAGGTAATAGCGCGGGTAGCCAAGTGATTTGTGTAGTTTCGGTCGCTTCATCAACGTGACTGAATTTTTGGGGAGGGCTGCAATGCCAAAAGTGCAGATAAAGGTTATAAAATGTGCCTGTGCCAAGGTTTTAAGCAACACACAGAGGGATATATATATATATATATATATATATATATATATATATGTATACATATATATGGACATCTCGAGCTGTGGAGAATCGCAGCGTGACAGATGGACTGAAGTAGATGGTTTGCCTTTGTTAAGTGCTCATTAACTTTGTTTAACCTGCAACCGTTGCTTGTGCGCCGCGGTACAAAGCCCCGGAGCCGAGCCGCAACGTTTGGCATTTGATGCCCACAGTAGAGCTTGTTACAAAACTGGCGTCACTGTCAGGGACGAACTGTGGGTGGCCATTGGGATTACTTAACCCGATATGGTGGTGTTGCAAGCCACCAGCTTATCTTGCATGCATCAGCAATTCGTGTTCACGTAATACCAGGCTGCTATTTTGACTTTTGTGTTCTTTGATGATTGGCATTCCGCATCCCGCAATGTGGCGATTAAAATGCGCTGATGCGCGAGGTCCCGAGCACGCCGTGTGCTTGCACTCCAGTGCCTATCGCCGAGGCCCTGTTGGATAACGGGCATTGTGACTTTCGTTCCAGTTGTACACAAATCCCTACGACATGGGTGCAAGAGAGAACTGGAGAACTTTCCTAGGACTTCGCTCGGGAAGGTATGTGACTGTCGATGATCTACATCGCACAGGAAGGTGTGTGCGAGACTTTGTTGATGACCTATATGCAGGGAGCGACTCTGCTGCCACATTCTCGACCACATTTCCCGCTATCGGTGCGTGATGCTAAGCCGCCGTGGACGCTTGTACATTTTATCGCCCGCCGAATGCCATCGAAACCGTATTATTCGCGGTGTAGCGTATAAGTGATGGTATTTCACACTCAAATTCTACGATTTGCCTTTCTCACCGCATTTGCTATCGATCGCTGGTTAGCTACCAGATGTCGAGGCTCCGAGAATACATCATTTTAAGAACGTGTCATCCCGTGATAGAGAAGCTCAAACAGAGGCTAAGATAGTGCCGTCCGGACCTAACGAGTGCCTCGAGTCGCATTGTTAGGTTAGCTTTCAGAAGGAACTTCGAACGGTTGTGGCAGCCTCGCTGTTTGACAGGGGCTGGCGCCACGTGCTGCTGCCGTCTGCTCACCTGCCGGAGCGGGACGGCCTGACGTGGCGCGACCAGCCCAGGCGGCCTCACGTCAAGGTGTTGTAGCCGTAGCCGTACAGCTCGCGCCGACCGCCCCAGGCGTCGCGCCGTACCTGCACAAATCAAATACCGAAGCTCGAGCTCGTGTGAAGAGGCGCTCGGCCGACTCACCGCACCATGACTGGCCTACTCGGTGGCGCCGCTGGGCCGAAGGACATCCCATGCAGCGTTGCGCGACGCACTTTCTTTTGTGGCAGATTTTTGCGGGAAGTTGTGTTTTTATTGGCATGCATCGTGATATCTGTACCGGTGGTGATACGTTTTAGTTCTTTGCATGATATAGAGCACCCCGTAAGGCCTTTGAACAGCGCAAAGCGTGCCACGGGAATTATTTTTGTGTTCCGCGCGCGACGCGCCACATGTTTTTTTAATTATTCACGCATTTGATGTGTGCAGCATTGGCGCTGAATGGTCACATCTTCAGTCATGTTTTTGTGGGATAAATATGTGGCTTGAGCGTCAGCTCTGATCTGAGGAGCTGCTCTAAGTGTGAAGATCATGTTCTGAAATGGAGGAGTAAACAGTGTAAACACGCACATACCTTTTACAGTGGTCGGGACTGGACGCGAAACGCAGGCGGCAGTACTTTATTGTGTACGTAGTCCTTCAAAATGTCGTGGATGTGTGGTTCACTCATGATGCTGAATGTACCCGGGCATTACATAACTGACTTACAGAATGTGCCGGCGTGGACATGTGCTGCGCACAGCGCGTGCCGATCAGGAACGACGCGAACGCAAGGCACAGCGCGGACATATGCTCTCACCGCGCGGCTTTCAAAATAAACGATTTACGCGATGACAATCGTGGGCACCTCAGGACGGCTCGAGTACCGACAGCGCTTGATGTACAATTCGACAATACAAACGTGCAGTACAAACCTGATGTTGCAACTAGAAGGATACGCTAGCTAATGCGGAATGAAGCACATCTTATCCTGGCACGACCTCGCTTGAGATTAGTTGAGCTAAAGGACGCGCCAACTGTACTGGTCACGTGAAGCCCATACGACCTTTACGCCACAAGAGCGCCCGTCCACTTGAGTTGGTATGGTGTAAAACGGTGCACTCAACCTTTACTGCATGCGAATGTTCCCCAATAAATGCATCAGAAAACACGTCACACCTATGCCGAGGAGGCTCCGCAGTCCTGCTCGGCAGAGTTGATGCCCTCCGGCTGGATTGTACCCAGTATGTCCTTGAGCGCGTGCGCAAAGTCAGCCACGGCGTGGCGAGAGACAGCCTCAGTGAATGAACGTACCCCTGTCAGCAGGAGACATTCGAGCAGCGGAACAAACGGCTCGCCCCGCTGGCGGTGGGCGGCCAGATGCCGCGCCAGTGCCGTGTCCGCTCCCTCCTGCAGCGCGCTCACGTGGCGCGCGAACGCCGCGCGCACCGAGCGCAGCGTCCAGCCGACGTACTGCAGCGCGCACAGCCGGCACTGCAGCACGTACACGGCCCGGCGGCTGGAGCAGGTCAGCGGCTGCACGATGGCCACCTCCACGTCCGGCCGGCTGACGCTGCGCACGGCCGCCGCCGGCTCGGCACACGCACAGGCCGGACAGTGGGTTTGGTGGCACGGCCGCCAGCCGCGCCGGCCGGCCGGCCGCGGCGTGCGCTCGGCGCCGGCGCGCGGCGTCGACGCCGGCTCGGCGCGCCGGCCGCCCAGCGCGCCGGCCGGATACCAGGGCGGTCGCGGCGGTGGCGGCGAACCGCTGCCGGTCGAGCCGGGCCGCTCGCTGCGCCCCTCAGCGCTCAGCAGCCACTGCCGGTAGCGCAGCTGCGCCTGCTGGTCGCGCGCCTCCAGCAGCTGGGCGGTGCGCTGGGCGTGGCGGCGCACGCGCTGCCGCTGGCGCAGCGCCGCTTCGCGCTGCTCGGCGGCCACCCGCTCCTGGTACAACTGGAACGTCTGCAGCGGGACGGTCACCGTCACCAGCCGCCGGCCATCTCCCGGCGACGTCACCGTCACCAGCCGCCGGCCACCCCCGGGCTACGTCACCGTCACCAGCCGCCGGCCACCCCCGGGCTACGTCACCGTCACCAGCCGCCGGCCACCTCCGGGCTACGTCGCCGTCACCAGCCGCCGGCCACCTCCCGGCGACGTCACTGCGCCGGCTGATCGGGTTTATATCGTTCGACAAGTAAATCCAAAGTGCTGAGGTATGTAACGTTCGTGACGTAGTTCAGCACCGTACCTCTTCTTGAGGGGAGTGGCGAGGCACTGCTGGACACGTAACACAAAGAAGCGACTGCCGGATATGGTTGTTTTTACATGTCGGAGGTCCGATCGCATTGACGGTATCGTCCAGTTTTGGACCATCACACGCCAATGATCGTGGTTTTCGCCAAACGATAAAAAACGGGCACGTTTCCGGCGTTCGACGACTATCGAGCCAGAATTATTTCCGATTCAATTTTGACACACCGCTCGCATTGCACACGCATGGCATCTTTCCACCTTTTCATCGCCCGGTCAGATGTGTCCACGCTGGACAACACTCTTCCCCGTCCAACTGCCAGTGCTGACCAGCGTCGGCACATCTTCAGAACTAAAGGGTGACAAAACGACATGCGTGTGTGGTTGCGAGTATGATGTTTAAAAGGCGTCCCAGAATTAATTCTGGCTTGATGATGGCCAGATACCAAAAGCTTGCCTGTTTTTTTCATTAACTTCAATTGACGTAATCGACCGATCACAATTCATCAGAACCGACTACCAAACGAGTGACATGCAGTTCGGTTATCGGGTCTATGTTCCTGACCCACAACAACGCCCTCGTCACGCGCTTGGGTTCACATGGCAACGCGCTTGGATTCACATGGCATGCACATGGTATTGTGTGCAGATGCACACCACTCGCAAGAATGTAAAGAAGTTGTCACGCATTGCGTGTGTGGGTGCAGCGCAGTCAAATTAACCTTGTCAGCTGCCAACCGGTTTTCTTCAGCGTCTCTCTTCGCTTCTTCCTCCCTCTCCTTCAACTGTCGTTTTTCCTCGCGAAGTTTTTTCCGGGCCAGGTTCATCTTTTGGTTCTTCCATGCAGCGTATGCCTGCGGACGTAACGAAAGCCGTACCATGGTGGTGATTTGCGGAAAAGACCGGCAGTCCAAAAACTTTACAAATTTAAGTTCCATCTGACAAAAACACAGGGGAACATAAGAAAACACCAAGCATTATTTGCCTCATGTTAACTGTGCTGCATAATTTCACGCTTACCAGTCCAGCTTCCTCAAGCTTTATTTGTTGTTTCCTCTTGCTTTCTTCTTCCTGTTCTTTCTGTTTTTGTTTTTGTTTCTTTCTAAGCTTTTTCATCCCTTTCAGCTTCTTTTCTTGCCATTTCCAGGCTTCATCTTTTGGCCCAATTCTCATCTCGACCTTATCTGACATTTTAAACTCCCTTCGAGCTCTTGGAACAGTTTTCTGAAACAACTGGAAAGGGATGCAAACTAGGAATTAATATTATTGTTACAACTCGAGCAATACGGTCATAGGAATATATATTTTATAGTTACGCTGCCATAAATGAGCTATTTGTACCGACATCTTATAGATGGACAGCACCGCGTCAGCCCATTCAGCATAAAGCACGTCAGATGGCGCAACCGAGCATTCTGGAACGCTGTTTTGCGTGGAAAGCCATTGTCCTAAGAAATATTACCACCAATCGACTACCACCACCTTGATGTACCTGCTTCTAGATCGAACCCGGCCTGTCTTTAAAAAAGAACAAAACATTAATAGGCGCAGAAAGCTGCGGCTTACCCCCCCCCCCCACAAAATTGTTGCACGTCTTTTTCACTGGAAGTCTCTTTAATACAACGCATTTTTTAAACGCCCTCCTTTTCGCAATATGCGTTGAAATCAATACTGGTCCATCGCACACGATAGCAAAGTGATTCAGACGAGGGATAAACCACGCAAGAGCGCCGCAACTGTAAACCACGTAAGTCTTACACGCAGGTAGATACAGTTAACAACTGTACACGATGGCTGTGTTGATATCTACGCTACATGCCTTATACTTTTTATTCCCGCTTTGTTTCGCCTGTTCAGCTTTCTCCCGTTCTTTCTCCTCCATTTGTTTCTTTTCTTCGATTTTGTGGAAGTACCAGGCCTCGTACACAGCTTGGTTTAGCAGCTTCACTTCAGACTTGTCTAAAGAGATACGATGATCAGTTAGCATTCGTCCCATGTTTGGTTAAGTGCGAAACAGCAGGCAGGCGAAAACCCAACATGATTCCTGGTAAGTAACAAGCACCATTTATGTCGAGACTGCGTGCGACTCTTCTTAATGCGCGTGACGGTGTTGGGCATAAAGCATTTGCGCGCCGAATGCCTCCGTGTTCAAAGAGATGTTTGTATTGCTGGCGAAAAAAACGTCGAATGCGCGCGCGACCAGTCAGTCATTGTGGGTTCCAGAGCCATCCAGGGCAGTCCTATCTGATCGATGAAGGGGGCATTAGCCACGAACCGCCGCGTCATGGTGTTGTATGACACGGTGATCACCAATAAACACTGCACGGGTACCAGGCTGTGGTAGAGCTATCCTATAGTTTGGACTGCTCGGGCAGCAGGGTCCGGTCAGCTGCGCAGTCTGGGGAATGTGTGAAGATATTGAAGAGATATTCAAACGTTCCCTTCAGCTTTTTACCCTTGTTTTCGGGAATGGGACGCACTTCGTCGCGCACCTTTCCGTCAAAACACTAGTTTCTACTGCGTGACGTTAGATACACCTGCCGGGCGTCACCTGAATCCCTTCAACACAGCAGTTCAGTGTTGAGGTTTGTTGTTAAAAAGATAACGAATGAACTTGGCGCCCCAACATGATGCGTCCATTCATAAAGACAGGAGATGGTAAGGAAAACCTCAAATAAAAATGTGAAATACAGGACACAGCTATTATTGTTGGGGTCCCGCCATCACTGCAACGCAGCGACACAACAGTGCAGAACTGCGCCGGAGTTAAAAAGGATGTGACGTCATCGGCTGTTGGCAGCAACTGGACGAGGATCGATTATTTCCGGCGTGATACGAACGAGCACCTGATACCCGGGGTAAAAGAGAATATGTCTGACAGTTGAAAGAGCTGGAACATTCGGGGCCAATAAAGCCAAAAAAGCTCAGGAAAAACGAAAACAGCGAACTCCACCAGGCAAACGTAAAATGGCAGGAACGCCTGCTCAGGAACAATTTGCCAAAGACGACTGGGAGCGTGGAACAACACTTCAGCTCCGTACAGTAACGTGACATTGGCAGGCACTTCACGTGTCATCGACGGAGTTTCTGACTGAATAGCTCGATTGATCGAATGTTGGAGTTTTCTAGCGCGTCGACCGCTGGGGTTACGCTCAGAACGGCGTCCTTAGCTGATGAGTGGGGCGTGGATATACTTTAAAGTCTCTAAATCTTAGGAACGAAAAAAACAGGTTTTAATCTAGGAGGTCTATACGACCAAAACTGTCATCCCATTTACCACACGGTTTCGTATGGTATCCAAGGTGTCGCATTCGTTTCTACGCAAAGTGCGGACACGAGCCGAGCACGTGACATACTGTAACATTCGCACCACAACGATGGCAGAGAGGCCTACTGACCGAGCTCAGCAAATGCCCATGGGTCGCGCAAGTATGGCCCATAAGCAGTCTGCTGACAAAATGGCAGGATGTATCCGCTGGGCCGACGCCCAATACCCACCCATCTGCAATCCTTCATCGTTCAGACGCTCCTGAAGTGACGCAGCAAACTCGGAGAGCGATGCCGATCTCCGCAGTACGCGTGTTTGCATGCATGGTCTCCCTGCTGAA